CCTAGCTCATATACCCCCTTTCTAGCTCATATACCCCCTTCCTAGCTCATATCCCCCCTTCCTAGCTGATATACCCCTTTCCTAGCTTATATATCCCCCGGAAGTCTTACCATCAAGGCACAGTATGAAATGATAAGTGACTCAGAGTAAGTTTTCCTCCTTGTTGAAACTCTCTGTTAAAGGACATAGGATGCGTTATAGAAAAGTACCGTGTCCCTAACACCCAGCTTAGTCATCCAGAAGACCACACCGGCGGCGAGCACTATCTCGCAGCTTTACGATCTGAGTGCCAGTGGGAGGCCACACTGTCTCCTCAAATGACCACCAACTACATGAAAACATTTTCTGAACCGTCCAGCCCTGAAGAAACAGAACCCACAAACGCTAGGATCCTTTCTGTGGTTGCCGTCGTCTATTTCTGGCCAATGCCTGTCAATTAGCAGAACCACCTAACTCCTGGCCGCCAGACCCATGTAGGGGAGAGTTCTGGAGAAATCTCCATTTACAGAACATAACCAACTACACATTGAACTCGGACGGGGGGGAAAAAAGGTGACATAGTTTTTTATTTCACAGAACACAGAAGCTACTCTCCCAAGCCACAGGAGCGGGAAGAACTGGGCTCCAGCTCTGCCGCCAGTTTATCTCCCGGACAAAGTCTTCCGGCCTCTGTGCCTGCGGGGGGACTCGGGCACGAGGCTGCTGCCGGTCCCAACAATCCACAGGACACAGGCGTGCCTCTCACTGCCCGCTCCACTCATCTACCCTCACTGCTGACCTTGGCCCAATCTTCTCACCTGCTGGTTTGGCATTCTGTTCTTCTGTAAGCTGTCTCAAATGCTTTTGGGAACAAAACAGAAGAATATGTAGATAGACAGACAGACAGGTGACAAATGGAAAGACTCCAAGAAAAGAGAAACAAAGAAAATTTCCTATGCAAAACCCTCCTCTCGTTGGGGAAGAAAGAAGCACACCAGGGGACTAGGAAGAGACAGGTGGCCTGGGATCTCGTTTCCTCTGGGTTTTGTGAAAATCACAGCAAGGGACGAGAAGGTAGGACTATAAATAATAAAAGAAAATGGCATGCTCAAAAAAACCTAAAATATACATTTTTTAAGGAACAGATTCCACCCATCGAGGCCTGATGACACAATCCTTGAGTGCTACAGAACTGAGAATTCCACCTCGGAGCCACAAGGCACCCCTCTGGAGCAGTGAGTGCGTACAGAGTGGTTGTAACACCATCACAGCCAAAGATACGTTCGCTTGCACTGAAAAGGAATCAGAACCTGTGCCAACAAGGACTTCTACACACGTCCTCACCCACAACCACCCGCCACTCTCAGAGGAAGGCACTCCTAGTGTATGTCATTCCTGCAGGTGACGAAACAAGTCCTGGAGAGGCCGAGTATCCTTACTAGTTTTCAAAAGTACAGAGCCAGCATCCCCAGGGTAGGATCCGAACTTGGGCCTATATTTTTCACCACTGTACCATTGTGCTTTGCCTGTTTCCCTATATATAATACATTTATTTCTGGCTAAAATATTTAATAAGAAATAGGCAGCCTTGATTTGTTTAATATGCTCTAACAAGTTATCTTCACGTCCTTAAATTCTACTCTTTTCCCTTGAAGAAAGGTAGGGAAAGATAACAGGGGCCAGAATGAAGTCTTTGTTCTTCATACGGTACATGATGAAGAAGTTCCCAGCCAGGGAGAAAGAGCAAATGCCCCTCCATCTTTTAGAGAAACGGCACCCCTAGTAATGAAGGTTTGTTCAATGATGACCTTAAACACCAGTACTGAGACGGGGGGGGGGGGGGACGCCACAACCCAGAACAGCACAATATGTCAGCAACTAACAAGGGCAGAGCTCACGAGAGAGCTGAGTGGGTCACAGCGAGTTAATTTTGCTCAATAAAAGAATAACAAGCTCTAAAAATACTAGTATGCAACAGATCTGATCTTTCTTGACATCTACAAAGTGTCGACAGCCCGCAAGTAATGTTAGTGTGAACCAGTGAAACAAGGAGTCAGCAAGACCACAGCCTGGAGTCTACAAACGAGAAAAATCAAAGAAACAGCCAGGCTGGAGGAGAGGAAAAGAACATAGTTAAAAAGAAGTGGGCGGAGAAGTTGGGAAAACAACATAATCACACGGCTCGCAGGTCTCCATCCCACCATCACTCATTCATCCAAGAGACAGGGAGAGCGTTACGGAGTCCTCTTACGTGCAGGTCCGCATACAAGGCACAAAACCAGAAAGGCAGAAGACACAGGGAGAAAGCAGAGCAGAGATAAGAGGGCATAAAGCAGAGACAAAAGAGGCATGGGAGAGAAAGACAACACCGTGAGACAGAAGAGCAACAACCGGGCTCAGAGAAGGCAGGTACCAGCTGGTGTGGCAGTGACCCTGGCAGCGTCACTGGGTCACTTACAGCCGCTGTCCTACTATAAAGCAAAACCCGGCAACGTGGGTCCCCCTTGCCCCAGTGGCAGAGGGACAGCAAGGAAGACAGTGCTACCCGTAGGTCTGGATGCCCAACTGGGCAAGCGCCTGGTGAGCTCCCTCAGCACCTGAAAGACTGGGGCAGAGATGGACTTTTTCATCAACAGTACTGGGACCCCTGGATGGCCATTTGGAAAAAGATGAAAACAGACCCATACCTCATACCAAGCACAAGAGTAAACGCCAAATGTTCTAGGATCTAAATGCAAAACAGAAAACCATAAAAAAAAAAGTTCAATAACATAGGTGAATTCCTCTAACACCTGGATAGAGGGAAAGCTGTCTAAATATGATGCAAATCCAAGCAGAATTTAAACAACTGAT